GTACTAGGGATTGGGAAAGGGACAGCACAGGAAGTCTGGCTGATTTGCCTTCTCCCAGTGGCTTGTGGAGCCTTTATGTGATTTCTTGGTGCCTTCTGGTGGCCTTGTCTGTATGAACAGCACTAAAGAACCCTAACAACTACCAGGCACTGTTCTTAGTGCTTTGCATTATATACTAACTCATTTAACCTCATAACAACCCTATGAGGGAACATTACCCCCATTTTATAGAGTTTGGAGTAAGTTGCCCAAGGTTATACACTTAGTAAATGGCTCTGCAGCTGTTCTGTAAGGTCACAGCAGCCTAAAACAGGACCCTGTGCCCCTGTGGGTGGGTGAGCATATAACACACTTCCTTGTGCCTTAGAGACCAGGAGAGCTGGGGGATCTTCAGTTCATCTCTTCAGTTCACCTCATAGACTGTCACAGACCGTGTTTCCTCACTGACAAAATAAGGGTACTAATATTTGACAGATGAGAAGGCAGGGAAGGCTATATAAAAAAAATCTATAGAATAGCAAATGATTGATATCGTATAAGTACCAATGATTTTTTGCATGATAAAAGCTGAAATAACTCTTAGTCCCTTTAACTCTCTCTCACTCCTTGTGTGTGTGTGTGTATGTGTGCGTGTGTGTGTGTGTGGTGGTCACAGTTGGTTCTTCCTGACTTGAGCCCTTGCTCTCTGAGTGCTTTCTTTATATGCATTTATAAATGGCCAACCAGATTCGAGTTCAGTGCTTGTCCACAGCTTCCAGTAATGAGAAGAAGGTAGAAGACACACTGTTCTCTGTGGATTAATTAGCAACTAAAACACAGAGAGAAAAAATAAAGCAACAATCAAATGCCTTCTCTCTAAAAGAAAATACTTGAATTGAATAGGGTCAGAGTATGAAGCTGCTAAATTCTGTTATTTATTCTTAAATTGATTCTCTATGATCTTTCGTGTAAGTCTTTAAAACTTTTCCAATCTTTCTTTTCTTTCCTTTGTGAAACCACATAGTGTTGATTCAGCTATTTAATGTCCTTTGAATACCTAAAAGATTGTCTGCATTAAAACCCATCCATTAAAAATTTGGTGTCTAAGCTTTTAGCTTTAAAGGATGAAGCTTTCTTACTTCTCTGTGCTTAAGTGAATCGATTTATTCAGTACTGTTTTCCTGTGCATCTACTGTGTTAGTCAGCGTTCTCCAGGGCAATATAACCAACAGCATATGCATGTCTATCTATATACAGACACATATATACACAGATATATATATAGATAGATAGATTATATATAGATAGATAGATAATATATCTCTATATATAGAGAGAATATATATATCTCTATATAATCTATCTATATATCTATGTATATCTATATAATCTATCTATGTATATATGGGTATGTATATAAAAAGTGTATGTATATATATGTGTATGTAGATAGATGATATATGTGTAAGTAGACAGATGATATATATACATAGATATCCATGTCTACCTTTCTATATACCTATACATATACACATAGATAGATAGATAGATAGATTTGTTTTAAGGAATTGGCTCACATAACTGTGGCGGCTGGCAGGCTCGAAATCTGCAGTGCAGACCAGGAGACTGGAGACCTAGGGAAGAGCTGTTGTTGCAGTTTGAGTTCCAGGGCAGTCTGAAGGAAGAATTTCCTTTTCCTGGGGGATCTCATTCTTTTCTCTTAAGACTTTCAATGGCCCATGAAAAAGAGTCAAACTCCATAAAAGATTTAAAAAGGTTTATTCTAAGCCAAATATGAGTGACCAAGGCCTATGACACAGCCCCATGAAGTCTAGAGAACATGCGCCCGAGGTGACTGAGTCACAGCATGATTTTATACATTTTAGGGGGACAGAAGTTACAGGAAGACATCAATCAATACATGTAAGGTGTATATTGGTTCAATTTGGAAAGGTGGGTTAACTCCAAGTATGTGTGTGTGGGCGTGCGCGCACGCGGGAGGGTTGGTTCCAGATCATAGGTGCATTTAAAGATTTTTTGATTGGTAATTGTTTGCAAGTTATTATTTATTTATTTATTTATTTATTTATTTTGAGACGGAGTTTTGCTCTTGTTACCCAGACTGGAGTGCAATGGCGCGATCTCGGCTCACCGCAACCTCCGCCTCCTGGGTTCAGGCAATTCTCCTGCCTCAGTCTCCTGAGTAGCTGGGATTACAGGCAAATGCCACCATGCCCAGCTAATTTTTTGTATTTTTAGTAGAGACGGGGTTTCACCATGTTGACCAGGATGGTCTCGATATCTTGACCTTGTGATCCACCCGCCTCGGCCTCCCAAAGTGCTGGGATTACAGGCTTGAGCCACTGCGCCCGGCCTGGTTGCAAGTTATTATCCAAAGACAGGGAATCGATAGAAAGGAGTGACTGGGTTAAGATAAGAGGTGGTGGAGACTAAGGTTTTTATTACGTAGATGAAGTCTCCAGGTAGCCAACTTCAGAGACAGTAGATGTAAACATCTCTTATCAGACCTAAAAGGTGTCAAACTCAGTTAATTCTCTCCTGGATCTGGAAAAGAGCTGGAAAGGGAAGGGGATTCTCTACAGAATGTAGATTTTCCCCACAAGAGATAGCTTTGTAGGACCATTTCAAACAATGTCAAAGAAATATATTTTGGGGTAAAATACTTTGATTTCTTTCAGGACGTGCTATCTGTCATATGATGCTCTACTAGGCTCAGGCTGTGATTTGGTCTCTGATGACCACAGAGCCTGGTTTTTCAGTTGTAATGATAATGCTGGTCAGCTGTGTCTGAATTCCAACTGGAGGAGGGCATGAGGAGGCCTGTCCAACCTCCTTCCTGTTATGGCCTAAACTAGTTTTTCAGGTTTACTTTGGAATACTGTTGGCTGAGTGGGGACATTCATTCAGTCAGTTGGGAGGCTTAGAATTTTATTTTTGGTTTACTCTGATTGGAGGAAGCCCACCCACATTATAGAGGACAATCTACTTCACTCAGATTCTACTGTTTTACATGTTATTTTCATCTAAAAAAATCTTCATAGACACAACTAAAATAATGCTTTACAAATATCTGGGTACCATGGACCAGCCAAGTTTACATATAAAAGTAGACATTATAACTACCCAAGAAGAGGGTATTGTGTTAGACTCTGAACATACTGACCTGTGACAGTACATTCTCATAAGTGCTATTGCATACATCCAGTCATCGTGTCACATTAATTGCATCTTTCATATCTTACATTCTTCTTGGGTTTTGTTTCTAAAGTTTTCAATCAGGTGTGATATTTTTTCTTATACTTGGGCATCTGGTTAGTCAATATCAGGTTCAAATAGTTGCCTAGAACCCCAGTTGTCTGAGTGCCCCAGATCTCTTCTCTCTGTGGAGTCATCAATAAACACTGATACCTGTAGGTCTCTGGAGGGATTTTGCCAACTCACTTGACAGAAGCTCCCGTAGGACTTCAGGGAGTCTCCCGGGTGGTTCCAAGCCAGCCTGCAAGGCCTGTCCTGGATGCCCTCAGCTCAAGGCCTCAGGGAGCCTCATGGCTTCACCAGGCCCATGTGAACTCCTCTGTCCACAGCCCCTTCTGCAGGGGCTCCAATCAGGAAAGGAGGAAGGACAGAGAACAGCTCTCCTCCTCCACTCCATTGTGCCTGGCTTCTTCTTCCTGGGTCCTTTCATAACAGAAGTCATGCAATCTACACTCGCTGTGTCTCGAATTGATCTTTCTCAAGGGAGCCAAACACAGTCACCTTAGCAATCTGACTCTCCAGCTGAGAAGTTTTTCCATAATATGTGGTCAACTGTTTCCAACGCTTTTCAGGAACCGTTTAGACTTCTGGCCACTTTTCACTGTCCTCTTTGGCCTCAGGCATAAGCAAAGCTATTATTATTGAAAACAGTAATTACACAACAATAATAATGAAAGGGACAAAAAAAGAGGGAGAGGGAGAGTGATAAGGTGAGATGAACTTTCGCCTGGAGAATCTGGGTGGAGGGAATGTGGGAACTTATGCTGTACTCACGCATGTGGAGAGAAGCTTCTGAGCTGATTCAAGTACCCTTGCTTGGTGGCCGGGCCTCTGACCACTCCCTAGTCCTGCCTCTTCTCACTCTTGTGCTACTGGTAAATGTGTTCAAACAGGCTGTTATTTCTGTGACAGAACTTAGATTTCAATATTTTTAACATACTAAATTTAGCAAATCTTGGTCAACATTTCGCCATGTATTCCACAGGCTTACCCATAATGTTTTAAGTGATTTGGGATTTTTCAGGAATGTACATTCCCCAACATAACCAAAAATACAGTTGTCTTATTTTTATGGAGGATTAGGAGAGAGAGACAGAGACATAATGGGCCTTGGGGACCTTCCTGGGTACCCAATGAAAGAGGCTGAGCCCTCGCACCTTTCCCCTCGGTTGGTGCCAGTGGTGGCATCTTGGTGGGCAGTACAGACTGGGTGGCATGGCTGGTGTTATGAAAAGGGCATTCTCTTCCTTGCTAATGGGCTCCGTGGCCTGCACTGCCCTGTGTCCGACCTACCCTCTGCGGGAAGACTGAGCTCGTTTGGAAAAAACCGGACCGCAGGCTAGAGGAAATTCCTTAAGTTCAGGCTTTATTGAGAGGAAAGAGTCTCCGGGAGGGCCAGCCGGGACGGAAAGGAAAAATGGCCGCGCTGCTCAGAGGGGCAGGGTTGTTTTATAGGGGGCTGAAGGGCTGGGGGGTGGGGAAGCCAAAAGCCGAGGTGGTGGGCAACTGTTGGTCAGTTTGAACTGCTGGGCGGGAAGCTGGGCGGCGGGAAGCTGGGCGGCGGGAAGGCTAGGGCCGGTATGTAAAGTGAGAGATAAGGGAGCCTCTTTGTGGGGGAGGGAAAGAGAGAGAGAGAGAGAGCTTTTGCGGTAGGGGCAGAGTTTTCCAAACACCCTGGAGGTGTTGTCTGCATAGAGACACTCTGACACACAGCAACAGCATGGCCCCCGCCCCCTCCTCTATAGATTGGTATTACCACGTCCCGGTGAAGCGCTCTGAGAAGGCCGTGGATGCCCCGCCAGCATCCCAGATCCCAGGTCTCAGCAATTTGGGAGACTCACCCAGCGGGAAGTTGCCTGGGACTCGGAGACACTGGATAAAAGAAACAGATTCTGAATACGTGAAGCTCGCGAAACAAGGCGGCAGGCCCGGTGAGCCCCCGACGCTCGGAGCCTCCTGCCCTGTTCAGGGTGGCAGCCCCGCGGGCAGTGAGGGGAGGATTTGTACCTAATTCCTTCCATATAAAAATATTACTACAGGGTCCGTACGTTTCGCTTTGGAAATTTGGGCTAATTAAGTCGGTGTAGTGATGGGCGTGATCTCCAGGGATGAGCTAATTTTTATGATGTTAGAATAAATAGGCCGAATTCACACGGAATTGCCTGTGTAGGATATTTCTTCTGAGTAATGCCTTTGCAATAATTCAGCCCTTACCTCGCTCGTTTTATATTCTTATTACAAAGAGAAATTCAGGAAGTTCCTGGCTTCTTGGAGATTCTTGGCTAATTTGTGAAAAGGTTTTGTTTCCTGTTTTTTACTCTCATTGTGGCTTGTCCTTTGTATGAAAATGTTTGAGATAATGAAGACCATAGATGAATTTCAGTGGTGATGTTGAGGAGGGTCAAATTTTGATACCTGATTTAATTGAGAAAGTACTGCTTAACCACGCTAAAATATAAGACATCTGAGCTCAATAGAAATTACTGACCAGACTGTTGAGAGACATCTAAAATGTCTCAGAGCCAGCCTTGGGGTCAGGGATTTGCAGAGACACTAACTTCTTTCTTCTGGCTGCCATTACCCCTGTGGGGATGGTCAGAGAGAAAACGGGAAGCAAAATGGTGAAATCTTTGCTTTAATATTAAAAAGCCCAGACCAAACAATTTAAGGCACTTGGTGTGAAGCTCAGAGAACAGGACCTAGACTTTTTTTTTGATATACCTCCTGCTGTTGGTTAAAAGAACATTAAGGGGACAAACTTGAAATGTCTGTATATCAGATAAGAGAACTGCATCAACAGCAATTTCCCGATTGTGATTATTGCACCATGATTATGTCAGGAATGTCCTTTAGCAACATTCCCTGGGGCTAGGGGGATGACTGGGCACTGTGTCTGCAACACGCTGCCTGATGATTCTGAAAACAATGACAACAAAATGATAAAAAGAGAGAAAACATAAAGCAAATGTGGTAAAATATCATTTGGGGAGCCTAGGTGCAGGGTATAGGGGAATTCATACTATTCTTGCAATGTTTCTGTAAATCTAAAACTTTTTTTTTTTTTTTTTGAGACAGAGTTTCGCTCTTGTTACACAGGCTGGGGTGCAATGGCGTGATCTCGGCTCACTGCAACCTCCACCTCCACCTCCTGGCTTCAAGTGATTCTCCTACCTCAGCCTCCGGGATTACAGGCACGCGCCACCATGCCCAGCTAATTTTTGTATTTTTAGTAGAGACGGGGTTTCACCATGTTGACCAGGATGGTCTCGATCAGTTGACCTCATGATCCACCTGCCTCAGCCTCCCAAAGTGCTGGGATTATAGGCGTGAGCCACCGCACCCAGCCAAGTCCAAAACATTTAACAATGAAAAGTGTTTTAATAGTAAAAAAAAAAAAAAGGAAAGTTAAAATTTTCTCAACAACAACAAAAAGGTCAGGTTTTGTTGTTGTTGAGAAAACAACAGGTGGCTCACACCTATAATCCCAGCACTTTGGGAGGCTGAGGCAGGTGGATCACCTGAGGTCAGGAGTTCGAGACCAGCCTGACCACCATGGAGAAACTCCATCTCTACCAAAAATAAAAAATTAACTGGGTGTGGTGGCATGTACCTGTAATCCCAGATACTTGGGAGGCTGAGGCAGGAGAATCACTTGCATCCGGGAGGCAGAGGTTGCAGGGAGGTTAAGGTTGCAGTGAGCTGAGATCATGCCATTGCACTCCAGCCTTGGCAACAAGAGTGGAACTCCGTCTCAAAAAAAAAAAAAGTCTTACTGATGGTAATAGGTCAACCAAAGTTGCCTGCTGCTGCCACGGGCACTGTTATCATTTTGCTATCCTTATTATCAGGAAAATCAGTTCTTCCCACTCCCTGCCTTTTGACACCAGGGGAGGGAAGTCTGGGGAGCTAGAAAGTAAGTGGGTGAGTCAGGAGCTGGCCTGGGCCTCTGGGAAGAGCCTGTGTTCTCTGTGCTTCTCAGGGTTGGCTCCAAGGTGACTGAAATCTTCCAGGTACCTTTCAGGGGCTTGTATCCTACTTCCCGTCTGGAAACCCGGAGGGGATGGCTTCTCCTGGAAATGGGAGGGGTGGGGTTAGGGACAGTTCCACAGTGGCAAAGGACAGTCAGACTGTCCTATGCTTGGAGAATGGTGTAGTGGTAGCTGATGATGAGGGAGCCAGCATGTGCAGCCCCTGGAGACCTGAGCTGTGGAGGGATGGGCCGCCTCCAGGAACTGGTCTTTGTCCAGATCTGCAAAGAGTGAGATGGTGGGAAGGCATATAGGACGCCCCTGCCTGAGCACAAAGCAGGACATCCACCCATCAGCCTGTGCAGAGACAGGTGAGCATCAGGGATGCTCTGTTAGCCCCTGGATCCCAGAGGCAACCCCAGGGAGACCCACAGTTCCCCTTGTAAATTGAGCCTATCACTGGCAATGCTCTGTGTCTGTGTAGGGGCGGTGGGGTGTCTCACAGCCATGTCATTTTCTCTTTGAGATTTGTTGAAGCACTTTGCCCCTGGGACCAGGAAAGGCTCCCCGGTGGCCTACTCCCTGCCAGACTGGTATATCCACCACAGCAAGCCACCGACAGCCAGCCAGCAAGAGTAAGTATCTTAAAGCACTCATGTTTTTGTTTATCTTTACAGGAAAGAAAATAGCCCAATACTGATAGCAAGCATGTGGTATGACAGCTTCAGGTTCTCTTTTATAATAGCCTGCTCTTTGGGGGACATAGCCTAAGTGGTCATAAAACCTGAGCTCTGGAAACCTTTTGTGACATTTTGTGCCACCCTAGAGTCTTGTGCCTTTGGGCTTCTTCTCAGTAAATGGCACTGCAGGACTGAACATGTCCGCCTATCATAGAAATAACCAATCCCAAAGGGTTCTTGTTGAAGACAAAAGGCAGTGCCTAACAAGCTAGAAATATATGAAATCCTGTTTCTATGCTCATTATTGAGTTATGGGGAGCTAATGTTCCCATAATATTTGAAATGTCTTAAAGATTCCTATTTGTGGACATGTAAACTTTATCTCCAAAACCACCTCTCTTGGCTTGAGAAGTAAAATAAAAAATCATTTCAGGTCATTTTTTTGGCTTGAAAATAGGACCACCACAGACATATCCAGGCTGTTACCCAGTGTCATTTGAATGCTCTGCCCTGGTCACAATGCATCTTTTTTCTTCAGGATTCTGGTCCCCCTGTTGTTTAAAATGAATATGTGCGGTAGTTCACGCCTGTAATCCCAGCACTTTGGGAGGCTGAGGCGGGTGGATCACCTGAGGTCAAGAGTTCAGGACCAGCCTGACCAACATGGTGAAACCCTGTCTCTACTAAAAATACAAAAATTAGCTTGACATGGTGGTGTGCACCTATAGTCCCAGCTACTTGGGGCGCTGAGACCAGAGAATTGCTTAAACCCAGGAGGCGGAGGTTGCAGTGAGTCATGATCGTACTGCTGCACTCCGGCCTGAGCAACAGAGCAAGACTCTATCTATCTCAAAAAAAAAAAAAAAAAAAAAAAGAAAGAAAGAAAGAAAAAAGATACTCTGTGCTAACAGGTTATATCAAAGTGGATGAGCTGAGCAAGAAGAGACAGGCTTAGAAGGGGAAGCAGTAGACTGGGGGCACTCCTGCAATGCTGCCTTGCTTGCAGGAACAGAGCAGGCCAGGCAGCCGGAGGTGAGGGTAGGACCCAAGTACCCCAGGCAGATGTGGAGGGACGGGTTTCCTGAGCGCCCTTGACCCTGAGCTCTGATGGAGAGATGCCCAGTGGGCTGGGACTCTAAGCAGCTGTGCGTCTTCTTGCAGCCGACAATGGCTCCTGCTCTATCTGGGTGTCCTGAACCGACGATCATTTCTGGGGGAGGCATGGATACCTCGTCTCTGGGGTGCTCCTGGAGAGCCTTACCTCAGGCATGCCCCTTCCTCCCATACCCACACTGCCACATGGACTTTTTCTTCCCTTCTTTGTGCTTTTTTCTTCCAGTCTGCTTGTACCCCTGTTCCTTTGCTGTCACCTCTCACCCTGTATGTCCTTACCAATTGTCCAAGCCTCCTAGTGATGATCTATTTCTGGGGCCTTCAGTGTGTTCCTTCCTCCTGGGTCCTTGTCCTCCTCTGGACTGCAGACCACCTGCTCCAGCTCCTGGGACAGGCAGAGGATGTGAACAGTGGGACTTGCAGGAGAAATGCTTCCTTCACTGAAAATCTGGGAACCCAGGAGCTACAACTTAACACTGCCTTTTTAAAAAATTGTTCCTCCCTTTGTTGTTTTCAATGCTCATCTGTCTCTGTGGGTTTTTTCCTGCCTCAGACCATATCAGAAGTGGGAGGGCTGGGGAAAGGTGCCGTTTCTCACACCTGTGCTCCCTGAGCAGCTCAGCCACACTCCCAGCTTCTCTTGCTGGGTATCTGTGACCACCTCCCAAGTCTGCATTCCCAGCCTCTGACTGCTGCTCCCTGGTCTCCACTTGCTCTCTCAGAGGCTGCCTCCTTCAGGTCCCTCACTGCAGTAGTGCCCAGGACCCCACTCCTTGGCCCTGCCCCTGATGCCCACTCTGTAGCTGGGGCCTCTCCTCAGCCTCCTGGAGCGCTGAACAAGTGCAAACGAGGAGCAGGACATGGGGGCACCTCTGCAGCCCCTCAGACACTGTGTGAAGGTGCGTGCGCTGCCATGTGAAGTTTGAATCCAGTGTTCTTCCCTGTTCAAACCTGGTTATGTGTACAGATGGTACCTTCAGGGATCTAAAGGCTAAAGCATTCCAGCGCCTCTGGGTGCCCCTCCTGTATGCACTGTGTGTATGGGAAGACTGGTTGCTAGTCATTAAACATGATCATTCAACAGGAAACAGAGAATGTTTTTATTATTTTAAATAATCATGTTAAATGGTAAATGTTTAGGAGTATATAGCTATTTTATGAAGTCAAACTAGTAGATACTATTCTAAAAGAAATAATTATTTCATAAGGTATGTTTTATAAATTCGTGTTTTAGTATATCTTGTTTTACTAATGTTGAGACCTTGTGATTTCTGAGTGAGCCTCCTGATCCTGTTTAGCAGGTACAAAAGGGAAGGGCCTGTCTGTGTGTTTAAAGAGGATGGGTGGTGCTTATGTCAAGATAGATGGAAGATAATAGAATAAGGGAGGGAGAGAAAGAAAAAGAGAGGAAAAGAAGAAGAAGAAAAGAGAAAAAGTGAGAGAGCAAGAGAGGCAGAGAGAGGGAAAGAGAGAGGAGAAAGGAAAGGAGGGAGGCAGTCAGAGAGGGAGGGAGACAGAAGGAGAGAGGGGGTGGGAGAGCCAGTGATGGAGATGGAGGGAAGGGAGGGAGGAAAGAAGGGAGGGAGCAGGAGTAGCTCTGAGCACCAGGCTGTAACTGCTGTCTGTCCCTGCAGAGTCCCAGTCATCTCCATGCCGGATTACATGGTTCATGAGGAATTTAACCCCGATCCCTCCAACAGTAACTATGCATCCAGAAGAGGGCCCTTCGACTTCGACATGAAAACATTTTGGCAAAGAGAGGCTGAGGAACTTGAAAAGGAGAAAAAAAAGGTGACGGGAGCCCATAAATAGACGACATCCACATCTGCTTTGCTTCCGTGGCCCCGAGTAATTAAGTGCTGTGATGTTAGCTGCCAGTGGTGTCTTATGTGGCCCGTGGCATTGGTCACGTGCTCCCTATTTTAAGTTTGGATCTACTAAAAGGCAAGCCACCACCATGCTATGTCTTTCTTTTTCTTTTTATGAATAATGACTTTAAGAGGTAAGATTTCTTTTTGCTAAATGATTTATAGATAGTTAATGCTTATCTAGAGGGAAACTGGCATGGCACTTCTTATCTGGCAGATATAGAAAAGGAATTTTATATTTAGTCATCCCATTTCTGAATATTTTCATGTATTTAAGTATGAAGTTAAAAGTGTTCTGAAATACTCTTTGTTGATAATAAAGGAAGAGAAGATGAGCTCTCTTCTTCTGTACAAACTCCTGGTGGTGTATTTGACCACAAAGAAGTGACTGGCTGTACAGTGAAGCCTTCTCAGAGAACGTGTATTTTAAGAGTGCAATGGAGAAAGTTGGAAGCAATCTTGAACTGGCAGCTCTGCTGCTGGGAAGTCTTAGTTGGAGGCCCTTCCATCCCCTTTCCTTAGTGCTGGAAGGAGTAAGAGCCAGGCCTCCAGCTCCGTCCGAGGGCTCAGTGTTGCCCGGGGCATCAGCACCAGGTCTCAGATTAGTCTCAGTTCTTGTGACATTGGGGTTTGTGAGTGAAACCGTGAAATTCACATTACAAATAACAACAGTGTTTGATACTGAGAATAAGAGTGAACACCATTGTCACCCGATGCGTGACATTTTGAACAGTGAAGAGCCTGGAAGTGTCTCAGCGTAGGCGGAAGTTGTTGTGAACTATCTATGCCGGATTCCTAGGCTGTTGCCTCAGTGTCCTGGTTTGAAGGGAAACCCCTCAGTTTATTTTGGGGACTTGAGTAGCTGAACACCGAGTGGAATGTCAACTGGCTGCAATGGACCACATGCTTCTTCTTCAAGATCTCCTCCATGTCCAGCTGTGATTTGGACTTTGGGTTGTTTCCATGATCCATACAAAGGCACTGGACCTTTTTTGTTGTTTTTCTTTTCTTTTTTTTTTTTTTTTTTTTTTAGTTAGAGAGACATTCTTGCTGTGTCTCACAGGCTGGAGTGCAGCAGCATTATCATAGCTCACTACACCCTCAAACTCCTGGGCTCAAGGGCTCCTCCTGCCACAGCGTCCTGAGTGGCTCAGTGTGCATGCCGCCACACTTAGTCAAAATGGACTATGTTAAGAATCAGAACTATTTCTCAGTGATGTGCAGGTGGCCAATTACCCTGAGCTGCAACCTCTAGTGATAAATGAACCTCTGGATATTAACCATGGTTATAGCTCAGATCTAGAAAAATCTTAAAATGCTAAATGCTGTGTCACTCCCAAATCAAGGGGGGTTTTTAAGTTAGTACTCATTTACAAAAGCTGTGCTAGGAGCTGCAAAAAGTTCCTGAAGCCAGCCCGCCACTGTGGGGAAGGAGATAAGATGACAAAGCGTGGTGGTTAAAGACACACACGCTGAATATTTAACAGCTAGAGGGACATGGTATTGGGTAAGGTGCAGGGGATAAGCACCACATCGGGATGGGCTCTGATTGTCCGAATAAGATACACTATCACCACTTTGGTAGGAAGCTAACCTGAGTGGTGATCACATCCTGGGAGTAGACCAGCGGACAACGCGCTTCCTCAACTGTGCCCTGGCCCCACACGGGGCACATGGTGGACACTTGACAAGACTTAGGCACATGTGTTGGCTGTTGGTTACCCACATTCACGGGGGTCTTGCTCACCTGCAGGGTGATCGGGGGATCTTGTTTCCTCTTTCTGAATAGCCATCTTTTCTTCTTTTAATTGTTAGCAATACCTCTGTGGATTTTGTTTGCCTGCTTTTGTCTTTTACAGTTTCCCCATAGCATTTATTTCTATGTTTCTATTTCTTTCAATAAGATATAATTTACAAAGAGGGAAACCTACCTTTTATAGAGAACGGCTCTCCAGGTTTTGACTAATGTGTCCCTTATGTACCACCACAGCCGTCAAGGAGCATAGCAGTTCTTTCACCCCCAGCATTTCTACACCTCTTTGCAGTCAGCCCCTCACCAGTCCCATGCAAGCGCTGATCTGTTTTCAGTCTTTATAGTTCTTCCTGACAGAGCAAAAGCATCGCCATCTTGGGCAAGTCTCTCATTCTAAAAGTTCTTCTTAATAAAAATTGTCCAAATCCAAGGGCCATCAACCTAATGGCTGAAGTCAACATGACCATGAACCACAGATAACATCTCCAACCAGAAACATTCCAAACTCCTCCCCAACCAGAGACATGACCCTAAATAAGCCCCCTCCAGCAGGGAGGATGCCAGCCCTGAGATAACCCTCTCCGGGCTGAAAGATATCTGCCCCCAAATAACCTTCCCCTTCTCCTAGAGAGATTCCAACCCTGCCATGAACTTCTCCACACACATAAACTTTCCAAGCTTCTGATAAGCCCCCTCACCCTAAAACCGATATATACTCTTTGTAACAGAAAAATGTTCCTGACTGCAATCAGACAAGAATGCCTTTCAGGTTTTAACTAAAGAAAACCTGTCTCTGACTGCCAAGCCACGTTTCATATTTCTTTCCTCTTTCTTTAACTCTTATAGTTCCTTTTCCAGAATGGGAAATCAACAGAAACATACGGCGTGGAGTCTTTCCTGCTTGGCTTCTGCCATGTGTTGTAATACATTTACATTATGCGTTTACATTACGTACACATGCCATGCTGTTCCAAGTATCAGTAGTTCATTCATTTCTATTGCTGAGTTTCATTGGCTGATCATGATACAATTTGTTTATCCATTCATTTGTTGGTGGACATCTGGTTTTTTTCCAGTTCTGGGTGATTATTATAAAAGCATACAGGTGGAGACCAATCCAAGATGGCCGATCGCTAACATCTAGGGACTGCAGCTCTCAGTGAAGGCGCGGAGAACTAGAGGATGCCACACTTTCAGACAAATTCTGGTCGCTCACAGAGCAGAAGATCCCCAGTGGAGGAATCACACCGGTCGCCAGTGCGACTTTCGTGGCCGGCGCAGCGGTTCCGCCGGCGCCTCTGCGCAGCAGCTCTTGGAGCAGAGTAAACAGGTTCGGAGGACCCACAAGGGCCCCCAGCACGACACCAGAGCCCGGCGCAGCGGCTGTGATGGCACCTCAGCGCGGCAGCACTTGGAGCAGAGGCGCAGAGTAAACGGGACCGGCTCCCCTTCTGACCGAGGTTTGGAGTCCCGCGAGGGCAGAGTCGCCTACTACGGACACAAGAAGGAAGCCAGACAAGAGAATCCTGGGCAGAAAAGCACCATCAGTTTTAACGCCGCTGCTCTGACCCTGGGAACTAACAACCTGGACACCCACTCAAGAGACCTACTCTGAAGGTTGGTAAATTCAAAGACCACAGGAGGATAAACTTACAATGACGGGAAGAAACTGGCGTAAAAAAGCTGAGAATACTCAAAGTCAGAATGCCTCTCCCTCTAAAGATGATCACAGTTCCACATCAACAATGGAACAAGGCTTGATGGAGAACGATCGCATCCCAATGCTAGAATATCGCTTCAGGGAATGGATAACAAACTTCGGTGAGTTAAAAGAACATGTTGTAGCCCAAGGTAAAGAAACTAGGAACTTTGAAAAAAAGTTTGATGAAATCCTATTGAGAATAGACAACTTAGAGAGGAGTATGAGTGAAATAATGGAACTAAAGAATACAATACAGGAACTCCGAGAAGTTTGCACAAGTTTAAACACTCGAATTGTTCAAGCAGAAGAAGGGATATCAGAGGTCAAAGTCCAACTTAATGAAATAAAACGCGAAGAAAAGATTAGAGGAAAAAAGGATAAAAAGGAATGAGCAAAGTCTCCAAGAAATGTGGGACTATGTGAAAAGACCAAATCTACGTTTGATAGGTGTACCTGAATGTGACGGAGAGAATGAATCCAAGATGGAAAATACCCTTCAGGAAATTATTCAGAAAAATTTTCCTAAACTAGCAAAGCAGGTCAATATTCAACCCATGGTAATACAGAGAACACCACAAAGATATTCCTCAAGAAGACCAACCCCAAGGCACATAATCGTTAGATTCACTAGGGCTGAACCGAAGGAGAAAATACTAAGGGCAGCCAGAGAGAAAGGTCGGGTTACCCAAAAAGGCAAGCCTATCAGACTTACAGCAGATCTCTCAGCAGAAACTCTACAAGCCAGAAGAGAGTGGGGGCCAATATTCAACATCCTCAAAGAACAGAACCTTCAGCCCAGAATTTCATATCCAGCCAAACTAAGCTTCACAACTGAAGGAAAAATAAAATCTTTTATGAACTAGCAAGAACTCAGAGATTTTATTACCACCAGGCCTGCTTTACAAGAGCTTCTGAAAGAAGCATTACACACAGAAAGAAACAACCAGTATCAGCCCTTCTAAAAATACACCAAAAAGTAAAGAGCACCAACATAAAAAAGAATTTACACCAACGAATGGATAAAACAGCCAGTTAACATCAAAAGGCACTAACCCTAAATTTAAATCGACTAAATCCCCCAATCAAAAGACACAGCCAAAACCCAATGGCATGTTACATCCAGACCTGTTTCACATGCAAGGATACACAAAGACTCAAAACAAAGGGATGGAGAAAGATTTATCAACCAAATGGAGAGCAAAAATAAATAAATAAATAAATAAATAAATAAAAAGCAGGAGTTGCAATTCTCGTATCGGATAAAATAGATTTTAAAGCAACAAATATATAGTGGTAAAAGGATCAATGCCACAACAAGAGCTAAGGATCCTAACACCCAGATACATAGAGACTTAGACTCCATGAGACAGAAAATTAATAAGGATATCAAGGACTCGAACTCAGATCTGGAACAAGTAAACTTAATAAATATTTATAGAGCTCCCCACTTCAAATACACAAAATAAACATTCTAGTCAATACCACATCACACCTACTCATAGGTTTAAATGAAACATTGGCTATTATTAATACCCATTTTTTTTTAAGAATAAAGCAATATTTCCACTCACTCTCCCTCTTTCTCTTCCTCTTTCTTCCTCTCCTTTACTCATTTTTTCTTCTTTCCTTCACTCAAAAAAAAAAAAAAAAGACCTCTAGATCCAGGTCGGCAATGTCTCTCTCATTGCTTGAATTCCTTCCTTCCCTTCCCTCCCTCCCTCCTTCCCTCCCTCCCCCCTTCCTCCCTTCCTTCATCCCTCCCTTCCTCAAAAAAATAAAAATAAAAATAGAATAAAAAATAAAAGCATACAGGTGCTTTTGTGAACACATGTTTTCATCCAGGTGTGGGAAGTTCCATCAGGATCAGGATCTTAGTTGTTCGTTGTTTTTCCTGCTAAGCAGATGGCATCTTTACTCGAATATAGCATTTGGTTTTAAGTTACTGACTGTCCCTTTTACATAAATATTTTGTTGAGTGGGATTATTCCTAATTTATATTTTATTGTGACCATCTACAATGACCACATTGAAAGTCCAGCCCTATGAGCTTTGTACCTTTGCTACCATTGGTGAGTTTTCTTCTCTAGCTATTGAATGCTTTCCACTAACTCAGGGTTTTGTGTGTTTCCCCACACAGCTGAGGCTACCAGCCATTAATTCAAAGTATCTGAGCAAAGCAGGCACCCCACTTGGCCCTAAGGACCGCACAGGAAGCAGACTCTCCTTTCCCCCCATGTAAGTGCTCAAGCTACGCGCCCACTGTCTGCTCTGGGTTTGGGTTTGGCCTTCCGTCTTTCATCCAGTGACGACTTTGCCAGTGACAGCATCTACACAGCTTCCCGAAGCCCTGCCCGTGGCCTGGCTTGGCTGAGCCTGCCACCTCCTCACTGTAGTTTCTGTACCTTTCTAATGTCATTTTGCCCCTATTGAGCACATCTTCCCTTCCAGGTCATGCTTCCTGCAGGTTGGCGGTGTGAAGGCCCTGCTTCTCCATCGGGCTGTGCCCTGTCTGAAGCCCCTGCCGCAATATCACCCTCACCACAGTTTGCGGGGGCTGCTTGTCCTGCATGTAGGGGCGACCAGGTCCTGACGTTTCTGTGTCCAAGGCCTGAACGCAGGCATCCATGCCTTGTAAGCTCGCTAAGTCTTTCCAGTTGGAAGATACAGCAGGCACATTGACATTTGCCGATCCTCCAGCTGGAGACTGAAACCCCTGAGGCCTTAGGTGTTTTCTTCCTCTCCCAGAATCCAAGTTTAATGCTAGGATAAATGTTATTAATTACCTGACTAATCTTCAAATGGCTTCTTGTCCAGTGGGAGAAAAACAATCAGATACATTGTATTGTGACAAATGTCATGAGAGCACCAAACTCAGGCTGATAGAGAAAGAAATATATATGTATTCTGTGTGTTTATAAGTATGTAAGTATATACGTATACATAGGCATGTATTATAGATGTATGAGGGAAAGAAAATGAAACATTAGGAGTGGCCTTGATACCAAAGTGGTTGAACCCCTCCTGGGTTCAAGAAATCCTCCCACTTCAGCCTCTCAAGTAGCTGGGGCTATATGCATGCACCACCACACCCAGCTAATTTGTTATTTTTTATAGAGACAGGGTCTCACTACGTTGCTCAGGCTGGTATCAAACTCCTGGGCTCAAACGATCCTCCTGCCTGTGTCTCCCAAAGTGCTGAGATGGAGGCTCAGAGAGAACAGGTGGTGTGTTGCTACTGCTTGAGCTGAAAGCTCACACTGCCTCTACTGTGTCAGACTGCCCTGTCACTCTTCAGTGTGGGTCAGGATAAGGTCTGTGAAGATGCAGCAGACAGTGAAAGGCTAAGCTAATGTCAAGAAATGACTGGAGACAAAGCTGTGTTCAGAGAGTAAAATAGCAGCAGATAATCTTTGACAAGGACAAGAAAGAACCAATAAGAACAATTGGTTCTTATTTCTCTTTATTTGAGATGCAGTCTCGCTCTGTTGCCCAGGCTGGAGTGCAGCGGTAACATCTCAGCTCACTACAGCCTCCGCTTCCTGGGTTCAAGTGATTCTCCTGCCTCAGCCTCCTGAGTAGTGGGAGTATAGGTGCCCACCACCACAGCTGGATAGTTTTGTACTTTTAGTAGAGATGGGGTTTCATCATGTTGGCCAGCCTGGTCTCGAATTCCTGACCTCAAGTGATCCACGCACCTGGACTTCCCAAAGTGCTGGGATTACAGCTGTGAGCTACTGTGCCTAGCCCTTTTTTTTTTTTTTTTTTTTTTTTGAGACAGAGTCTTGCTCTGTTGCCCAGCCTGGAATGCAGTAGCTTGATCTCGGTTCATTGCAACCTCTTTCTCCTGGGTTCAAGCGATTCTCCTGCCACAGACTCCCTAATAGCTGAGACTACAGGCGCATGCCACCATACTCAGCTAATTTTTGTATTTTTAGTTGAGAGGGGTTTCACCATGTTGGCCAGGATGGTCTCCATCTCTTGACTTTGTGATCCACCCACCTCAGCCTCCCAAAGTGCTGGGATTACAGGCATGAGCCACTGCCCCAGTGGTGTTTTTTTTTTTTTTTTTTTTTTTAAAGGTAGTTCTAAGCAATCCATTACTACCAGGAAAGAGGGTAGTGTTTTCTTAAGAGGGATTCCTGTGAAATACTAGAATTATTACTATTTTTTTTTGAGACAGAGTCTTGCTCTGATGCCCAGGCTGCAGTCCTAGCTCACTGCATCCTCTACCTCCCGAGTTCAAGCGATTCTCCTGCCTCAGTGTCCTGAGTAGCTGGAATTACAGGCGTGTGCCACCACACCTGGCTAATTTCTGTATTTTTAGTAGAGAAGGGGTTTCACCATGTTGGTCAGGCTGGTGGTCTGGATCTATTGACTTGGTGATCTGCCCGCCTCGGCCTCCCAAAGTGCTGGGATTACAGGTGTGAGCCACCGTGCCTGGCCACTATTACTAACTCTTAATTGACTATCACAAAGATTTTGGAAATGGAACTAAAAATGCTCTCATGCCTGTACAAGGGATGCTTTGACATGTACCTTCTTATGCTTAAAAATGGAGACAGCAAGACAGAGAGGCAGAGGGAGAGACAAAGGGGCAGAGAGACAGAGGGAGACAGAGACAGGGAGAGATAGAAAGAGAGCTCTTCATGAGGTTTGAAGGGACAGTAACTCCTAGTTAGCGTGTTCACTGAATACTGTTTCTGCTTTATCATTACCCTTGTACTTAAGTTTCACACGACTTTTCCTCTTTTTAAGGCCTGGTCAAAAAAAGAGTTCACCAACCAATTTTTCCAAACTCATTAGCAATGGTTATAAGAATGAGTGGCTGCAGCAGCAGCGAGCTGACACAGACCAGAGGACCCCGAAGACTGGGGCATCATTGTCATCTCAGTCCCCACGAGATCTGGAAGGTTCCCAGGATGCAGCAAGGCTCCAGGATGCAGAAGGCCCTGAGGATGCCCCAGGTGAGGTACAGGCGGCCATCTGCGTTTACCAGAGGCTTGGTTCATTGTGATACAGCAGCTGACATTCTTATCACATGATGCATCTCGTAATGAGAAATGAGTAACCCAAAAACCATGTCAAAAAGCCCACAGAAATACTAAGGTTACAGGGCCTGGTGTGGTGGCTCACGCCTGACACCCAGCACTCTGGGAATCTGAGACAGGCCAATCACGAGATCAGGAGTTCGAGACCAGCTTGGCCAACATGGTGAAACCCTGTCTCTACTGAAAATTAAAAAATTAGCCGGGCCTGGTGGCAGGTGCATGTAATCCCAGGTACTTGGGAGGCTGAGGCAAGAGAATCGCTTGAAACCGGGAGGCAGAGGTTTTACTGAGCAGAGACTGCGCCATTGCACTCCAGCCTGGGTGACAGAGCAAGACTCTGTCTCAAAAAAAAAAAAAAAGGAAGAAAGAAAGGGCCGGGCGCGGTGGCTCACGCCTATAATCCCAGCACCTTGGGAGGCTGAGGCGGGTGGATCAAGAGGTCAAGAGATCGAGACCATCCTGGTCAACATGCTGAAACCCCCGTCTCTACTAAAAATATAAAAACTTAGCTGGGTATGGTGGTGTGTGCCTGTAGTCCCAGCTACTCGGGAGGCAGAGGCAGGAGAATTGCTTGAACCCAGGAGGTGCTGGTTGTGGTGAGCCGAGATCGCACCATTGCACTCCAGCCTGGGTAACAAGAGTGAAACTCCATCTCAAAACAAACAAACAAACAAACAAAAAAAAAAACCAACAAAAAAAGAAAGAAATACTAAGGTTACAGATAAGCCTGAGGGTAATATGTGTTTTGTTCTTTCCTCTTCATTCATGTGAACAGCAAAAGTCATGACTTTTGGGGCTTTACGTTTTCTTTTATTTGTCAAAAATTTTGATAGTCCATTTGATATAACAAACAAATAATATCAATTTTTAATCTTCCAGATTCAAAAAATTTTGACCCTAAAATGCTTCTACTTTTGCATAAGCAGCCCGTCCTTTCTGAGGTCACTTCTCAGGAAGCTTTCATTCTTTGAAAATAAGTAAAAATTCAAACTTAAAATTACTTTATTATTGGCATGTCTTAAGCTTTGAATAATTTAGAACTTTCTCTGTAATTAGATGTTCAAAGTACCATATTAGTTTTTATTTTATTATAATATTTTATTTTATTTTTTGAGACAGAATCTTACTCTATTGTCCTGGCTGGAGTGAAGTGGCACAATCATAGCTCACTGTAGCCTCGACCTCCTGGGCTCAAGGGATCCTCCCACCTCAGCCTTCCAAGTAGCTGAGACTAAAGGCATGCATCACCACACCCAGCTATTTTTTTATTTTTCATAGAGACAGGGCCTCACTATGTTGCCCTGGCTGGTCTCAAAGTCCTGGGCTCAAATAGTTCTCCTGCCTCTGCCTCCCCAAAGTACTGAGATTACAGATGTGAGCCACTGCACAGCCATTCATTTTTATTTTTAGTGGTTACAGAAAGAATTCCCCTTATTTGTTCAACACATCCATCCTAAAGCCTATTTTGCATTGTTCAGTATCCACAGCTCTATTAATTATTGACCAATTACCTCTGGGAAACTTGTTTTTACTATTGAGGCTTGAGTTCTTTGATTAAGACGAAAGATGGTGTGTCATACCTCTACAGACAGTTGAAATGTTTGGTGTGGTTATTTGTAAGTGAGGTCATGGCTTGTCATTCCACACCCAGTCCCTTCCTGTATTTGTTGAGCAAGATCTGCCACTTACTGGCTCTCTCCTTCATTATACTGGAGGATGAGATGGTGACAAGTTCACATGCAGTGTTGTTAAAAAGTGCCCTATCGAACTTTACAACAGCAATAGTGTTTTATGACATATTGCTGTTTTAAGTAACATAGAATTTTTATTAAATCTTTAAGCAAATTATGACTTCTTTTAACACTTGATCTGTTTCATTAACCTGGATAACAGATGTACTTGTTCTTTATTACAGAATCTTCTCAAAGTGAGTATGTATGAAGTAATCTGTATCAAAACACAAAAAGTCTTACACAAAAAAGTCGATGGACATAGTCCTGCAATGTGAGATGGAAACCTCTCGGCAGCCTGCAACGTCCTTCTCCAAACTGCACGCATTCTGACAACAAAAGCCTGTGCCATACGTGCTTTAAAAAAAATCAGTGTTCCAGAAACATAACTTACGGGGAGGAAAAAGGGGACCACTCACATTATCACAGCATGATTATTATTCTTTTTTCATGTTACACAAGCAAAGACAGTTTAGTTCATAGACACACATTGTATTACTCGCCATGTGAGAGTCATACTGGAAAAGATAAGTAAAAGCCACGGAGGCTTCAATTTATTTTTTAGTTTACTTTTTATGGTATTTTTAATTGACAAATAATAATTATATACAACTATGGGATGCAATGGAATTTTTAAATCAAGGTAACTAAAATATCCATTACCTCTAATACTTACGCATTTTTTGTGGTGATCACATTTAAAATATGTTCTTTCAACAAATTTGAAATATAGAATGTATTATTAACCTTGCTGTGAAATAGATCATTAAAATTGATTTCTTCTGTGTAAGGGAAACTTGGTACCCTTTGACCAACCTCTCTTACCCCATCAACTTCTGCCCCAGCCCCAGCACCTGGTAACACATTCTATTCTACTTCTATTAGTTCAACTTTTTTTGATTCCATATATAGCTACAATCATACAGTATTTGTCTTTCTGTACCTGGCTTATTTTACTTAGAATAATGTACTCCAGGTTCGTTCATGTTGTCACCAGTGATAGAATTTACTTCTTTTTTAAAGGCTGAATAGTGTTCTGTAGTATACCTACCACATTTTCTTCCTTATTCGTCTACTGATGGACAGTGTGGTTGATTCCATAGCTTGGCTTTTGTGAATAACGCTGCAGAAAACTTGGGAGTGCAGATATAGCTTTTTCACATACTGATTCCATTTCGTCTGACGTATACCCAGCGGTGGGATTGCTAAATCATACGGTAATTCGATTTTTAGTATTTTAAGGAAACTCCATAATGTTTGCCATAATGACTATTCTAATTTACATTTTACCTTCAGTATGTAAGGGATCCCTTTTCTCCACATTATTGTCAACACTTACTTTTGTCTTTTTGATAATAGCCATTTTGACAGGTGTGAGATGATATTGCATTGTGGTTTTCATTTGCACTTCCCTGAAGATAGTGATGTTGAGTATTTTTTTTTTTAATATATACCTGTTGGCCATTTACATGTCTTCTTTCAAGAAATGTCTGTGGAAGTCCTTTGCCCATTTTTAAACTGATTTTTTTTTTTTTTTTTTTTCTACAGAGTGGAGTTCCTTATATATTTTGGATATTAACCCCTTATTAGTTGCATGGTTTCCAGGTATTTTTTCCTGCTCAGTGGCTAGTCTTTTCATTTTGTTGTTTGTTTCTTTTGCTTGCAGAAGCTTTTTAATGTAGTCCCACTTAGTTTTCTCTTTGTTGCCTGGGCATTTGGTGTTCTATCCAAAAAATCATTGCCCAGACCAATGCTGGGGAGCTTTTTCCCTATTTTTTTTTTACAGGTTGAGGATCCCAAATCTGAAATCAAAGAAAATGCTCATTGGAACACTTCAGATGTGGAAATATTTCAAAATTTAAAAATGTGAAATCCCAAACACTTCTCATTCCAAGCATTTCAAATAAAGGATACTCAACCTATAGCAGCTTTACAGTTTCAGGTCTCTGTTTACATCTTTATCTACTTTGAGTTGATTTTAGTATATTAAATGAGACGAAGATCCAATTTATTCTTCTGCATGTGAATATACAGTTTACCCAGCATCATTTACTGAAGAAACTGTCCTTTCCCTCATTGTGTGTTCTTGGCACCTTTGTTGAAAATTGATTGACTGTTAATGTGTGGGTTTATTTCTGGACTCTATCCATTGATCTATACTTCTGTTTTTATGCCAGTGCCATGCTCTTTTTGCTGACTCTAGCTTTGTAATATATTTTGAAATCAGATAGTATGATTCTGTATATCTGTTTATTTTCTGTTTGCTCAAAATTGGTTTGGCTATCAGGGCCTTTTGTGGTTCCCTACAAACCCTAGGATTTATTTTCTATTTCTGTGAAAAATGTCATTGAAATTTTGATAGGGATTGCATTGAATCTGTAGATTGTTTTGGATGATATGGACATTTTGACAATATTAATTCTTCTGATCCATGTATGTAGGCTATGTTTTCATTTATTTGTGTCTTCTTCAATTTATTTCATCCATGTTTCATAGTTTTCTGTGTACAGGTCTTTCACCTCCTTGGTTAAATTTACTCCTATTTTTTTTTTTTTTTTAATGCTATTGAGAACAGGAGTATTTCTTACTTTCTTTTTCAGATCATTTGTTGTTAGGGTATAGAATGCTACCAATTTTTGTCTGTTGATTTTGTATCCTGCAACTTTACAGGATTTGTTTATCAGTTTTCACAGTTTTTTGGTGGAGTCTTTAGGACTTTGTATATATAAGACCATATTGTCACCAAACAGAAGATTTCACTTGTCTCTTTATAATCTGAATGATTTCTATTTCTTTTTCATGCCTAATTGCTCTGGCTAGGACTTCAGATACTAAGTCAAATAGAAGGGTTGATAGTGAGCACGCTTGTATTTCTCCTGATCTTAGAAAAAAACTTTCAGCTTTCACTGTTGAATATCATATTAGATGTGGGCTTCTCATGTATGGCCTTTATGTGTTGAAGTACATTTCCTCCATACTTAATTTGTTGAGAGTTTTTATCATAAAGTGATGTTGAACTTTGTCAAGCACCTTTCCTGCATCTATTAAGATGATCCTTTGTTGAAAATTCATTGACTGTTAGTGCATAGTTTATTTCCGGGCTCTATGTATTTGTCCTTCATTTTATTAATGTGGAATATCACATTTAATGACATGCATTTGCACATTCAGTGATTTGCATATCCATCGTTGCCTACCAGGGATAAATTCCACATGATCATGGTTTATGATCTTTTTAATGTGCTGTTGAATTTGGCTTGCTAGTATTTTGTTGTGGATTTTTAAATCTATGTTTATGAGGGAAATTGGCCTGTAACTTTCTTTTCTTTCTTAAAGTGTCCTTGTCTGATTTTGGTATCAGGGTAATGCTAGCCTCATAAAATGAGTTTGAAAGTGTTCCTTGCTTTTCAAATTTTTGGAAGAGCTTGAGAAGGATTAGTATGAGTTCTTCCTTTACATGTTTGGTAGAATTCATTAGTGAAGCCATTATGTCCTGGGCTTTTCTGTGATGGGAGACTTTTTTTTAACTGATTCATACTCATTCTTAGACTGTTCAGATTTTCTATTTCTTCATTGGCTCAGCATCAACTTTTGTTGTATGATTCTAGGGATGTATCCATTGGTGTAGAATTGTTCATAGTCATTCTTTATGATCCTTTGTGTTTTGCAGTACGAGTTGCAATGTCTTTTTTTCTTATTTTTTTCAGTCTTCTCTTTTTTATTTTTCTCTTAGTCTTGCTAAAGATTTGTCAATTTTTTTTATAATAAAAATACTACTCTTACATTTTTTATCCTTTCTATCTTTCCTTCTGCTAACCTTGGGCTTAGATTATTCTTCTTTAGGACCTCGATTTAAATATACAAATACAGCAGGTACAGAAGATCACCTTCATAGGGTATGATGAGGGTTTTATTATTCTGCATTGTCTAAAGAAGATAGAATTTACTTCACCATTGATAAAATATTATATATGATCTGATCAAGGGACTGCCATTTAGCAGTCATATAAACATATAAACTTTATATTGCAGGTGTTATGTAATCTTTATATTATGTCGTCAGTAAGATGTTTAATTTTGAAGAAACCTTTTAACCTTTCGTATTAATGAAAGTCTAAATAAGCTGCAAAGCCCCTAATACCTGGAAGAATCATCATGTGGAGAAAAGGATCTGCTCTGTGTAGTTTCTGGATATCTGAGGCGGGTGTCACTATGAAACACCTGTCCCTACCTCTCAGTATCTCTGATGCCAAGGCTAGTGCTAGAGCTTTTGACAATCACATTCTCTCCACTGTTAGTCTGACCACCTTTTTTCTTCCTGTATTTCATTTCCTCTTCTTTTTTTCTATTTCCCCTTCTTTTGTCCCATTTCCCTTGCTGTTCATCATAGTTTTAACTTTATAAACAATAGGCAATTTAGAAAGTGCATTTTTCCCTTCAACTAGACAACTCACCACTTAGAGTTGTTGCTATAACTTTCTGGAGACTAATCTTGTCAAGGCTTCTTATTTTATTTTTTTGAGGCAGGATCTTGCTCTGTTGCCAGGCCTGGAGTGCAGTGGTGCAATCATGGCTCACTGCAGCCTTGACCTCCTGGGCTTAAGCAATCCTTCTGCCTCAGCCTCCTCAGTAGCTGGATCTACAGGTGCATGTCACCATGCTTGGCTTTTTTTTTTGAGATGGAGTCTCGCTCTGTTGGCCAGGCTGGAACGCAGTGGCGCAATCTTGGCTCACTGCAATGTCTGACCCCCTGGTTCAAGCAATTCTTCTGCCTCAGCCTCCTGAGTAGCTGGAATTATAGGCACGCGCCACCACACCCAGCTAATTTTTGTATTTTTAGTAGAGATGGGGTTTCACCATGTTGGCCAGGATGGTCTTAATCTCCTGACCTCATGATCTGCCCTCCTCAGCCTCCTGAAGTGCTGGGATTAAGGGCGTGAACCACTGCATCCAGCCAATCTTTTTATTTTCTGTAGAGACAGGGTTTCACCACGTTGCCCTGGCTGGTCTTGAATGCCTGAGCAAGCGATTCACTAACCTCAGCCTCCCCTAGTGTTGGGATTATAGGTGTGAGCCACCACACCCAGCCTAAGGCTTCTTTTTAATGTTTCTTTCCCTCCATGAGACACAAGATTATTATTTCCTTATTGTAATTGTTTTCTCAGCTGCCCTAGATGTTTTGACATGTGCTAAAGCTGTCATTTGGAAACTGGTACATTTATTGTACTCTGAGAGGGTCAACATTAATGAAGATTGCAAAAGGCTTGGGGAGCAGGGACGAGTGCCGTGTAGAGGCTGACTGATAGCCCGAGTTGCCCCTCCTGCCTACTTGCCTCACCCAAGCTGTGCTCATACTATTTATTTAATAATTCTTTTCAGTGCATTTATGTCAGCAGAAAGTTTTCACCATGCACAGGCAAAACTCATTAATTGAACCGGGGCAGTCTCTTCTAGTCTACGAATGCAGAAGTTGGAGTCTTTTGCATTGGTACACTAGAAGAGAGTGCCCCGGTTCAATTCATGAATTGGAATGGGGCACTCTCTTCTAGTCTACCAGTGCAAAAGTTGGAATCTTGTGTTTCCAATTTATGCCAGGATTATAAGCTCAACTTTTATGTAGACTTCAGAAATAATCCTTATTAATACATACATAAATATGTGTTTTCTTATTTTTAAAACTAATGTTTTTTTTAATGTATAGAAAATGTCATCTTTGTCTACTCATTTACTTGCTTTGCGTTGCAGGCCCAGAAGAATCTATATCTGCATCAACACCAGCAGAGCTCAAATAAATCCTGATGCAATACATATTTAGGATAATTTTTTAAATGGCTAAAAATGACATGACTATATTATAGCTATGTTTCTAAGGCTCTTGTTATATTTTATTAATATAGACTCTCATGGGATAATTTACCTTGCAGCAGATTTGACATTGCTGCATAGGTGGGGCAGGTGGTGTTTTTTATTTCTCTGGGATGTTAAATATATGGCTAAGCAAGGCCTCTGTTACCCTCTGCCCTGCTGGCCTGGTGATGTCCCAGTGTCTCAGAACCAATCACTTGCTCCCTGTCATCAACTAACATAACCTCCTACTTCGTGAACCACTCTTAGCGGGCTTTGCTACTGGGTTCTTAACTAGAGGAAACTTACATAACAGGCGTTACGCCTTTTCCATTATTGGGTATCATAATCTTTATAGAAATCATTTTCCAGTTACGAAAAAATGTAATTCCAGAATATGGTGATATAATGTCAAAAAAATTTAATTTATTATGCCATGAATTTATATAAACATTTAATATAAAACATTGTAACATTTGTTATTTTGAAATTTTTGCTATTTTTTCATAAATTGATATTCAAAATATTATACATTTATTATTTTGTATAAACCTCTAAGTAAAAATATGTTGTTTTAATATTGCATTTAGTAGGCTTAACAAAAACTTTTTAATAGTCAAACTTAATTACCTTGTTTTATAAATTCTAAATTGTTTATATTTAAGCAATTAGCTTAAAATGTAGTTCTATGTTTTATACATTTAACTGATTAATAAAATAATAATTTTATGTGAGAAGATTTTCAAAAAGCCAAATAAAGCCACAGATATTTTAGCTTCTTTCCCAGAATAAACTTATCATGCATTTGCTTACCTAAAATTTGAGTTCCAAATTAGTTCTTTATATGAGATACTTAATTCAGCATATATATCTATATTCGTTGATCAAACTGATATGCTACCAGAGAATGTATGCCAAGGATATTGCAAATGGCTGTATGCATTGAATAAAAATAATATACCATTATAGTAAGAAGTTTTTTTTTCCTCTCTTTTTCGCTTTTTTAGCCTCTTCCTTCCTCTCTCTGAATTCTTACCTCATTCCCAAACACCCCCACCTTAACAAAAAAGTCATCAGGAACAGATATCAATAGTGTAGAACTCTTCAATTCTTTATTTAATTATAATAACAGAAACCTGTGGTTTAGGGAAAATGGAGACAAAATCTGGAGTAAAGACCAGTGATCAAATGTAGGCTCCACCTACAGTAGCCAGTGTCAACCTCAACAACAAGCAGACAGGCTGCCTGAAAGCAAATGGTATTTACGTGGGAATGGGGCGGTTCAATGGAAATATCGTAAACTGTGCACATATTCATGGAGGCCAAGGAAGACAAAATCTTTTAAAACAAAAAGGAGCAAGATTACATAATTGTTTTGACATAATTATCCTTGGCTATAATGACCAATAATGAGGGTGATTTCAAGTTTGAATAGGCAGTGGCTGGACAGATGTCCTCACAGAAGTATTTTTTAATGTATGGTTGCATAAAAAAAAAATTGTGTTCCAGCTTGCAGTTTTATAGAGTCTTTTGTGATAGTTTTTGCTATTCTATGGAATTCCAACTATATGGCCTGCTGGAAATGGTAAAACTATGGCAACAGTAAAACTATCACTGATAGACAGGGATTAGGGAGGAGGGATGAACAGATAGAGCACAGAAGACTTAGGGTAGATAAACCACTCTCTGTATAATGCTACAATGGTGGAATTATATCATTATGAATTTGTCCAAACCCATAGAACCTATAACACCAAGAGTAAATCTTAATATAAACTATGATCTTTGGGTGATAATGGTGTCTTGTTGTGGGTTCATCAATTGCAACACATGCATTGCTCCTGTTCCAGGTGTTGACGGTAGGAGAGGCTATGAGGGTGTGAGAAGATGGGAACTTCTTCTTTCTGTTCAGTTTTGCTGTGATTGTAAAACTGATCCAAAATGTCTATTAAAAATGAAAAAAAAATAATATAATGCCCTATATGTTTAAAAAAAAAAAAAAGAAGTAAAATTTACAGTGTAAAAAAAGCAGGTTTGGCATGGTGGCACATGCCTATAGTCCCAGCTACTTAGGAGGCTGAGTAGAAACTGTTGCTTGAGCCCAGGAGTTCAAGTCCAGCCTGAGCAGCATTTTAGAGAGAACCTGTCTCTAAAATAAATATTTTTAAAAGCAGAAAGTGTTGGGTATGCTGCCTATATTGCTAAATGATGGTATATACAAGTGGTTGCATCACATTCCTTGGAGTTAAAGGTTAAAACATAACAGATCAACTTAAGTCTAAAGGACAAAAAAAGATTAGCAACATTTTAAAATGAAAATAAGGAGGGAAAAATATTTTCAACTTTTTTTATCCTTAGAGAGCAAAGCTCAGCAGCTTAGACAGGTTCTCATGCTCTTAGATTTCATGTGGGAGCTCTTTGTGAAATGATAAAGAGACTGTCTGAAGTTTTTTTTTTTTTTGAGACGGAGTTTCGCTCTTGTTACCCAGGCTGGAGTGCAATGGCGCGATCTCGGCTCACTGCAACCTCCACCTCCTGGGTTCAGGCAATTCTCCTGCCTCAGCCTCCTGAGTAGCTGGGATTACAGGCACGCATCACCGTGCCCAGCTAATTTTTGTAATTTTTAGTAGAGACGGGGTTTCACCATGTTGACCAGGATGGTCTTGATCTGTTGACCTCGTGATCCACCCGCCTCGGCCTCCCAAAGTGCTGGGATTACAGGCTTGAGCCACCGTGCCCGGCCTAATGTACAATAATGTGCTACAGAAGTTATGATTCAGTAGCAAGCTCTCCAGGTGGTGAGACATAAGTGAGATATGAACCCTCCTTTGAGGCACACTGCCCTGTAACCTGGGTCAATGCAATTTTGAATTCAAAGATTTTGTTCTGAATTTGCCATGTTTTTATGAAATTACTAAAAGATTTGCAATAAGGTACAACTTTTCTACCTAAGAATATCATAATTTCTTTGAAATGATTATGGATTAATATGTAGCTATTCCTTGCCTCATGAACTATAGAGGTACAATTATTTTAAAACTGCATCTTGAGGACTTTCTAGTAGTTGAGATAATTATAACTACCTAAGTAAATACCCCCCCACATCATTTAAAAATTGAGTAAATGAATTAACCAGCTTGAGCAGATGTACCAATCTTTGTACATCTACAATGTAAAGACAACCGCCAATGACCCATTTCTTCAGCATAATTAGAAAAGGAAGGACACTGTGAGCTTAAAATGACCTGTAAATAGACAACCGTAAACTTCCAGCAGTCATTTCTAGCTCCCACCACACACTTGACTGAGAATGAGGGAGAATCCAGAAAGACTCCAGAAAGAGAAGAGAGGGTGGAGGTAAAACTACCTGCAGAAGGAAAAGTCCCGGTTATGTAGGAACGTAATAAAAATGCATGGTGAAGGGGAAACAGAAGTGGAGAAATGGAAGAGTCCATCAAACAAAAGTAAGCCAAAAAAATGGAAGGACAAACAATCCCTCGTCTGCACCTATAAAAACAGTTACTCAAGAAAAAATCTTTACATCTCACTACTGATAAAAGAGGGCACATTTGAGTTGTTTAAATCATCCCAGTAGCCAACTCTATTCACAAAATAAAATAAGAAGTCTCAAGAAAACATTTCAGAAATAATACTTGAATCTACATATAGAAAAGATTTGGGCTAGGCGCGGTGTCTCAGTCTGTAATCCCAGCACTTTGGGAGGCCGAAGTGGACGGATCACGAGGTCAAGAGAGAGTGACATGGCCAACATGGTGAAACCCTGTCTCTACTATAAATACAAAAATTAGCTGGGCCTGGTGATGTGAACCTGTAGTCCCAGCTACTTGGGAGGCTGAGATACGGCAATTGCTTGAACCTGACAGGCAGAGGTTGCAGTGAACGGAGATGACGTCACTGCACTCGGCCTAGCTGCAGAGCAAGGCTCTGTCTCAAAAAAAAAAAAAAGAAAGAAAGAAAGAAAGAAAAGATCCACAATGTACCAGAAAAACTTATCTGTAACAAAGTCAAGACACATTATAATAAAATATAATATTTTATTGTAAATAAATTGTAATATTTATTGTAAATAAAATATCCCCAGTTCCTCTTAACAAAAAGATCTAATAATCTACAAGTCAAGCAAAATTATCTGGCATAAGATTTCTCAAAAGCAATAAGCAAGGCAACAATGAAGCAGCATTTTCAAGAAACTCAACAAAAGAATATATGAAGCAAGCCAATCTGTGTCTCAAGAATGGAGGCTATAGAAGAACAGTTTCAAACATGGAAGCATGGGCCTTTTCTGAAGCATCAGCCAGAGGATGAGACTGGCTCAGCTAAAAATGACTAAAGAAAATTCAGCAAAAAGACTATTGATGAGCACTAAATATAGTTAATTATGGACCTAAAACTAAAAGTGGGAAAAACATGAGAGACTAATATATAAATGTTCTATGTTCTGACAAACTAGAAATAACATAACTGAAAATTTAGAAAATGAAAAGATAAATGTAGAATAAACCCTTTGGTGGATAGATCATACACAGTACTCAAAGAATACCATTAGAAACTGACAAAACAGATAGTAAAAAATTAAATAAGGAAACAGAGAAATAAGGGCACTAAGAAACACATAAATTAAAAAGCAAACAAAACATTACAGAAAGAAAAATAGTAAACATAATCTCATAATAATTATAATAATGTGAATGAATTAAGATTACACATGTAAGTCATATCAATAAATGTAAATGAGCTTAACTCATCTGTTAAAAGATTTTCATTTTGGTTTACAAAGCAAGACACAAATGTCATGCATTGGAGACATAAGACATTTGAAACAATTCAGAAAGGCTAGAAACAAAATGATGAGCAAAGGCATACCAGGAAAACAAAAACAACAGGAAAACACAGGTAGCAATATTTATGTCATACAAAGCAATATTCAAGCAATAAAAATTACACAAGACAAAGAAAGAACTCTTTAATACTAAAAGCCAAAAGTCACGGCAAAGACAGGACGGTTATGAATATCTAGGTATCGAGTATTACAGAGACCACTTTTATGAGGCAGGACCTACAGACAATGCAAGACATCAGCTGCTAATAGGATACTTCTACACACCACTCTCAGCGCAAGTCAGAGCAACCAGAAAAAGGCAAGAAAGGTTAGAGAAGACCTAAGCAGAGTAAACAATATGACAGACCTTAAGGATATATATCAAAAGTTAAGATGCGATAATACAATGTATACCTTCAAATGCATGCACAGAATATTCACTTAAATAGTTGTTATAGTGGGACACAATAATGTAGAAATGTTGCAAATAATACTCTGACCACAGCTCAGTAAATCTGGAAATTAATCACAAAATCAATAAACTTAAAAAAATTCCCATCAGGAAATTTTTGAAAACCTGTACAACTTGGTCAAAGAAGACATCACCGGGAAATTAGACAGTAGTTTGAGACGAATGAAGCAAAAGCACAACATACAAAAACTTATGGGGGCCAGGCTCAGTGGCTCACACCTGTAATCCCAGCACTTTGGGAAGCTGAGGCAGGTGGATTACCTGAGGTCAGGAGTTCAAGACCCGCCTGGCCAACATGGCAAAACCCCATTTCTACTAAAAATACAAAAATCATCTGGGTACGGCAACACATGCCTGTAATCCCAACTCCTGGGGAGGCTGATGCAGGGGAATGGCTTGAACCCATGAAGCGGAGGTTGCAGTGAGCCGAGATCACACCACTACACTCTAGCCTGGGCAACAGAATGAGACTCCGACTCAAAACAAAAACAAAAAACACTTATGGGATGCAGTGAAAGCAATGGTCAGGAATGATAAATTCAGAAAACTTAGAAATTTTCATTATAAATTTAGAAATTTATAATTCCTTTTTTTTTTTTTTTTTTTGCTAAATTGATGGAGGAACACAATGGTGAGTGAGCCTCCACAATTTTT